TTTATAAGGGATTTCTTGAGAGTTTAAAAACACAAGAGCTTAAATAAAATTCACTTTAAATCTTTAACTTTAAATCAATTTTAAAAACTTAAAAATTGAAAAAATAAAAACAAACAATTAAGAACACTGAAGTCTCCACCCACTTAAACTCTGGCAGCCACAGACTCCAACCTTTGTTTATGTATCTGTTAATGGGTATGTGTTACACTTTTGATTTTTGGGTTTAGTTTTGTTGTTTTTGCATGTGTTTACAATGAAGGGGACTGCTCACTTGGGTATGATTTCGGGAAAGGGTGGTTGATTTTTATTGGTTGCAAAGCTTTAACCCACTACTAGATCGTGAACCTAGGGCGGCTTACGTTGGGTGGCTGGCCTAGGGTAGGGTAAGAAAGGGAGGTTGCCGCCAGTGGGATGGGGTGATTGGGGTGGGTGATTGTTGGTGTTTGCTAGCGAAGGGACTTGGTAACAGTGGTTGCTATGATTTATTGTTATTTTGTTTTTCAATTTTTAGTTTTTTATTTTATTAAGTTAACACTATTATATTAGGGTTAAGTGATAGGACACTTGTCGAACATTTAAAGAAGGGACATGAAGGGGACGCCAAATTGGGGACAACGGATCCGCTTCCATGATTTAAAGGGCCTCATTTTAATTTATTAGCATAATTTAAAGGGGCCTCATAAATTTTTTTTTTTTTTGTCGAAATTGTTAAAAAGTTTGACTATTAACTAGTTGAGTTTTAGCCAATAGAGTCTAGCACAATGGAAAAATGCATTGACTTAGACTAGTGCTCTTAAGTTAGAAACTCCATGACATCGTAGTAATGTGTGTGAGAAATGACTTAGGCCAATAGAGTCTAGCACAATGGAAAAATGAAGGGAGTTTCACTAAAACACCCAAAATGGATGTTGAAATTATAAAAAAACCCAACACCCAAAACACTTTATAAACACACCCAAAACCCATCATTAAACACTCAAAACCCTTTTATAAACACACCCAAAAAGTTGACTTTGAGGTTGATTTTGGGTGTGTTTCTATGTTTAAATAGTGCTTGGGTTTTTTTATAAATACATGTCTAGGATTGGGTTTATTTATAAATTTGTAAAAAATGAATTGACTTAGACTAGTGTTCTTAAGTTCAAAACTCCATGACATCGTAGTAATGTGTGTGAGAAATGACTTAGACTTGCTTCTCGTCTCATATCTACCCGATGCCGGACTCACTTTACTGAAAAAGGTCCTTTATCCCCAATTTAAAGAGATAACCCATTTGACTTTTGCCAAAAATTCAGCAAAGTCTCTCATGTAATTGGAATAATTCCCAAATTACAGTGCCTATAAACAAGTACGAAACTAATCCCAACTTCCAGCATGCACAAGGTAAAGACACACAACGGTTAAGATTAATGAAATGGGCCTTATGCCCTCTACCAAAACTCAACAAGCATACAGAGCAACTAAAGTTTTAAGTTTACAACCCGGGAAAGAATAAAGGTAGAGAGTGAAAGAAGAACACTCCTGCAGAGCGGACAATGATGATGCCTCGACGTGGTGCTCTCGACCTCGGAATCTAGGACCTGGGGGGCGCAAAACAAAAAATGTGAGTGAACGAAAATAAGCTTTAAACATAAGTCTTTCATCAACATAATAACCCCCTCCGTTTTAGAAAATAATATAAAAACACAAGGCTACGGAATCTTTTTGTACACATACATATATACGAACTGTTACTCGAAAATAATTCATTTCAGTAAACCTATAGCAGAATATACGATGGAGAAAAACCATTTAATTAATACTTCTTAGTTTTTGGAAACCACAAACTTATTCATTTGATTCTTAATGTAAATCCACGAAATCGAAATTTCCAAAATTCTCCCCATTTGTATAAAGTATAAAATACAAAATTAAATAACTCCCTTTTTCCTGAAACTGTACACATCCAGTTTCAAACCTCAAATCCAAACCTCAATTAAAATCCATACCCATGCAAAGCCATCTCAATGCACATGCTCGAATGAACTCGACCTGAAAATAAATCCACAGATGTACCCACACAATTCTCGCACACACATTTATACATATAACTCGACTCACATACTTGACATTCCATTCTTTAGAACCCAAGTATCCCATATACGTAATTATATAACAAAAATGACTTTGAAAACCAGATAACCCAAAATCCCGATAATAGTAAAACCCCAAACTCAACTCGACCTTTTTCCTGTACCAGACCACTCCCTCTTAAAATGCATGCCCGTAGGCACATCAAGCGAGGAAAGATCCTTACTAAACAAGATAAGAATAAAAGTGTAATAGTATATATATATATATATATATATATATATATATATATATATATATATATATATATATATATATATATATATAGTATAACTTCCACACCAATACTTGTACTTGGGAAATAATCCAACATGGGGATCGTTTGACTAGCTCGCAGGGTTTCAACTTTCTACTCTGCATCTAGGGATGAGCTGTCCAACTAGGGGACTACCATTCTACAGCACACACGCCAGAAAATCCAACGCCACGTGTGGCCAAATCAAACCATGTCCTATGTGCGCAGACTTGTCGTCAAGGCCTACGGCACACCCGACCAAAGGTGCCCAGATTTTTACCACACACCGGAAAATCCAACGTCACGTGTGATAAAGTAATAGTAACCAAGTGAGCCCACACGCCGGAAAATCCAACGCCACGTGTGGGTAAAGTAACCAATATCCAAGGGGAGATACACAGGGTAGTGCTAAAAGCACTCTAATATAACGTATTCCACATCCCAACTCACATACCATATCCATATCCCAAATTCCAAATATTCTAATGTACCCAATCCCATATACATAGATATTCGGACATTAATAGCGTCCATAACTCAATACCCAAATATTTATACATAATAGATCACAAACTCCCTTAGAATACTCTTTCTAATAACATAGCCGAGTTCCAAGACTCGTTTTCACAAATATCCAAATCAAATGATCCCATATACATATCCATAACTCAAAATATTCATAAACTCCAAATATTAAAATAAATTCCAATAATTCCATAAAATACTATAATCCACAAAAAAAATAATATTGTAATTTCATAAACTCAGTAATCAAATTAATCCAAATTATATAAATATGCAAGACAATCCATAAAATACTTTCATAATCAAACCCCATATCGCCCAATTCATATACTTTAATAAAAACCATAATAACAATAATAATACCTGGAAAACCCATGTCACATTCCGATAAAATCACAATCCAAAACCCAAAAATTCGTTTACTTTATAACTAACAATAAGTTCTAGTAATCCCATAAGATACTATAAAACCATAGTCAAAACATATATCAAATCCCAATAAACCAAATAAGCCAAGTTCTAAATCCGATCTCACTTATGCATGCAATTCCATATTTGAAAAATAAATGTCCATAGCAGCAGGTCTATGCTACTCAATCCTAAGAGAGCTCTTCCTCTAGAATGCGCGAAGCAAGAATACCTAATCGAGAGAATAAATGGACTTAATTAATACGTGTACCCAACAACGAACTTTAACTCAAACACTAGTTCTCATGTCTCAAAGTAAGTGTGCACGACTACCGAAGAGTTTCTAAGGCCAATCTAACACCTTTCGAAAGGTGGAACAACCTCGAAAGACTCACGGTCAACTGAGTGGTCAAACTTTCCATATTAGTTAAACGTGCCCGTGAGGCCCATGACCTCCTATTTTCTATTCTAAAGTTTCTATGGGTCCAAAAGTTTGGCCTCGATCGAGCAGTCGGATGTAAGCCAATCGTATGATCAAACGATGATCACTTCACCTAACACTAGAATCATTGATTTGGAGTATCCGAGACTCCGATTATCGATCCACAAGTTCCTACACGATCCTAGAGGTACAGAAAACAACATATTTGAAATTAGGACTGATCGAATGGTCTGAACCTATTGAACCCGAATATCGCATATTAGGTGCAATATCCGTTCGACTGTCAAACGGTAACGTGTTGATCATGTTCTAGATCGAAGACTCGGTCTGCTTTAAGCGTGGCTTGTGGATGCTTGCAACAACATGTTGATCATGTTCTCGCCCTTCTTTTTGTCTGCTTGTTCCTGCTCGACCTGCATGAGACCTCTTGAACAGCTGGTCGATGTATTCGTCCATCCTTCTCTCTTCACCTTGCGGTCGAAAGCCAAGGTCTCGGACCAAGTTAATTTGGTTGAGAACTTACCTTACCAAGTTGTTTTAATTGTCCATTCTCTAGGTCAGCTAGTCTGGAGAGAA